CCATGACTTCTTTGTTGTTTGAGGCATACAATCCAAAGTAAAAATGATTCATTCGATATTTTCCAGATTTACTGCAGTATATTTCAGAACTTTTATACCATGATATTTTATTATTTTCCCTTCAAGTTATGTGGTTATGCTGTAACTTGGTTAAATGTGATTATCATTAACAATTTAAGCTCAATTCCTTCAGTAGACTATAGGTGTATAAGTACCTACATAGTCCAGAATGTCCTTGTTTCAAAGTTCTAAGGCTGTTGGACACAGCAAGGAGTTTAAGCTCTCCTGCGCTTTAGGATGTTGATAGGTAATCTCTCCATCTCTGTACTGCTTCTAAATATTGCTATTAACCTCTCAAAAACTTTGCTCACATTTGATGTCAATCTTCTTTTAATGCATTTTGTATGATTACCTTCAAGATGTTCACTCTCAATTAGAGTTCAGAATGAATTGTTCACATATCTCTTGTATTAGGCCCTCCTGAGGTCATTTAACTTACTCTCAGAGGTACTTTTAAGTTTCCTTTTCACTTTCCCTTTAAGTTTTTCCTTTGTACCATTGATGCACCTGGAGTTGTGGCCTCTCTTACTCTTGATCCATCGGATTAACCTTTTAATGCCAAGATTCCAATATTATAAACTAATCTTTTCCAACCCAGGCACTCCTTTTGGAGTTTACAGATTAGTGTATTGGGGTGTTAGGCTCACAAAAGGGGCTTAGTGTGGAAAGCCGAGGACTCGTTTCCCACCCATATTGCAAGTGTCTTACTGGCTTGATGGTTAAAATAGCAGATGTCTTTCAGAATATTTCTCAACTCCTCTCTTTCTTCTAATTTTAGTGCTAAAGTTTATTAGTAGGGAGCTTCCAGTCCCATCTACCAGTTCAAATGTCTCTCCTCAGCTTTTGTGGGACTGTTTTAGTCTTCTGCATATCAGTTAGCCCCAAAATCATTTATTCTTCCGCTGAATAGGGAATGAGGAAAAGTAATTGAGCTACTAAAAAGGGAAATAGGAGAAGGGAAAGCTGGATGGGAGGAGATAAGTGCAAAAATATAGAGGAGCAAAAAAGAATAGGAAAAAGAAAGAAATCACAGGAAAAGAAGGACAAGAGGAAAAATGAACTGTAAAGGAGACGTGAAGGAAAAGGAGAGAGCAGGAACTCTGTAAAATCCTGATGTAGTAGGGCCTGTGAATGGTGGGATGTGTCCATCATTCCCAGTGAAGCAGGGATGCAGTAAAAAATAGTAAGAAACCGCTGTCCTAATTATTTCTCAACACATCAGTCACTCATTACATAAACTAAGGGTGCACTTTGTGTGCATGCACATCTTCCCACACAAGCAAACTACTGAGAACTATAATATCTCTAGAAAACAGAAATTGCAAATGAGTCATTATGTCTTTCGTAGTACTTTTCCAGAGGATCATAAAGGTTTAATTTAGAAAATAATTAATTACGGATTATTGAGGGAGTTGGTCTGAATCCAGTATATTAATTTTCTCCTTATTTCATTATGTTAAACTATTTATACTATCAAATAAATCTGTATTCTTTTCTTGCAGTATGTATTGCATCAGGGACAAAAGTGGCACTATTTAATAGACTTCGATCCCAAACAGTTAGCACAAGATACTTGCACGTAGAAGGAGGTAATTTCCATGCCAGTTCACAACAGTGGGGAGCATTTTACATTCATCTCTGTAAGTAAAAATAAAACACTGCGCATCTAATCCAAACTTCATGTTGTATTCCCTTTTAATAACTTTTCAAAGTAAAAATTCAGTGTTAGTTATTTGGTATTTATAGTGACATTTTGTCCTTGCCATAAAATGATCAAGGAGTTAAAATGCTTTGTCTGCTTCACGCAGTGGATGATGATGAATCGGAGGGAGAAGAATTCACGGTGCGTGATGGCTACATTCATTATGGACAGACTGTCAAACTTGTGTGCTCAGTTACTGGCATGGCACTCCCAAGACTGGTACAGTTAAATTTCTCTGATGCAGTAGTTAAATTGTGATTTCATTGTTGTTTTGAGATGCTTCTGTTGTTTTAGATGGATGCAAACTACATAAAAAGTACACATGCAAGATTTCACTAGTACAGAATTTTTTACAAGAACTGCCAAATAATTGTTTTCATTGTTTATAATTCTTGTGTGTTTGTCTTTTTATATTACCTTTTACTTTTTTTGAAAAACGTATTTGTCTTTAGTAAAATATTATTTTATATCTACATTTTATTTCTGTTTCTTGGGGAATTCTGTAAAGAGTAAGGTGTAAACTAAATTTAAGGGCACTGCAGAAAAAATCAGTCAAAATATGACTCTTTGAACTCCCCCAAAGAATAAATCTAGTTTAGGGATGGCAATGATAGCCCCATTAGAATAAAGCACTTAAGCATATGATTAACTTTTAAGCAGGAGAGTCATGTAATTGAAGTCAGAAGAATTATAATCATGTTTAAAAGTAAGCCTAAGTGTTTTTCTTTTTTCTAAGATTGAAGAGCACTGTGTATACTTATATACACTATTAGAGATGTGCAAAATATCACTATACTGTGCAAAGTAATTTTGGATGACTGCTGGTCCTGTATTTCTTAAACATAACAGTATATATTTCTACTAAAAACTGCCAATTACAGTTACTTAAGGTTTTAGAACTTAAAAGCTACTTGTTTTGTTCATCCAAACAAAAGGCTAGAGTTATGCATTTTAACAAACTAATTACAGATTTTAGTTTTATTTTTCTATATGCTCTCAACTAGGCAGTCTCATGCTATTAGTGCTCGACTTATAAACTTTTCCATTACTTATGTTTTGTGTACCCTGAAACAGAATAACAGAATCATAGAAAAAATAGTGCTAAAAGAGTCGTCATCATATGAGGTAACCTAGTCCAATCCCTTGCTTGAGGATCCCTGTCTAAACCTTTCTATACCACATGTTTTCTAACATGCTTTTTCAAGGATGGGAATTCTATAGCAGCTTGTTCCAATGCTTAACCACCCTCACAGTTGCAAAGTTCTGACTAATAGTCAACTTAAATTTTCCTTGATGCAGTTTAAGACCATTGCTCCTTGTCGTGCCCCTTTTGGCCACAGAGAGTAATCAGTTGCTATCCTCTTTATAACCACCCTTCAGGTATTTGAAGACAGCTATCAAATTCCCCTTCTGTTTTCTCCTTTCCAGACTAGAAATTGGAAGAGCTTGGGTTAGAATCATAGAAAATTAGGGTTGGAAGGAACCTCAGGAGATCTAGTTCAACCCTCTGCTTAAAGCAGGCTCATCCCTAAGTAGATCATCCCAGCCAAGGCTTTTTCAAGCTGGGTCTTAAAAACCTCCAAGGATGGAGATTCCACAACCTCTCTGGGTAACCTATTCCAAGGATTTACTACCCTCCTAGTGAGAAAAAATCTTCCTAATATATAATCTAAACTTCCCTTGCTGCAACTTGAAACCATTTCTCTTTGTTCTATCATCTGTTGCCACTGAGAACAGTCTAGCTCCATCCTCTTTTGAACCCCCCTTCAGGTAGTTGAAGGCTGCTATCAAATCCTCCACTCAAGTCTTCTCTTCTGCAAACTAAATAGGCCCAGTTCCCTCAGCCTCTTCTCAAAAGTCATGTGCCTCAGCCCCCTACCCATTTTGTTGCTCTCTGCTGGACTGTCTCCAATTTGTCCACATCCTTTCTGTAGTTGGGGGGGCAAAACTGAACACAGTATTCCAGATGTGGCCTCCTCATCAGCATTGAATAGAGGGGAATAATCACTTCCCTTGACATGCTGGCAGTACACCTACTAATGCAGCCCAGTGTGCCATTAGCCTTCTTGACAATGAGGGCACACTGCTGGCTCGTATTCAGCTTATTGCTCACTGTAACCCCCAGATCCTTTTCTGCACAGCTGCTACCCGTTCAGTCAGCCCCCAGCCTGTACTGGAGATTCTTCTGTCCTAAGTACAGGACTTTGCACTTGTCCTTGTTGAACCTCATGACATTTCTTTTTGGTCCAGTCCTTTAATTTGTCATGGTCTGTCTGAATTCTAGCCCTACCCTCCAGAGTATCTACTACTCCCCCCCAGCTTGGTGTCATCTGCAAACTTGCTGAGAGTACACGCAGTATTCTAGGTAAGGCCTCGCTAGTTAGAATCATAGACTCCACAGGGCTGGAAGGAACCCCAAAGGATCATCAGGTCCAGCCCCCTGCATAAGCAGGAAAGACATCTGGGGTCAGGTGACCCCACCCAGGTGACCATCCAGTCTTCTGTTGAAGACCTCCTAGGGTAGGTGATTGCACCACCTCTGAGGGGAGCTTGTTCCATAGTCTGGACAACCTAGTTGTGAGGAAGTTTTTCCTAATGTTCAGCCTGAAACTATCTTCCAGGAGTTTGTAGCCCGTTGTTTCTAGTTTTCCCCCAGGGCGCTGTGGTGAACAGTTTACCGAGCCCCTGATGTATGTAGCTCATAACAGAGTGAAAAAATCACTTCTCTTGACTAATGTCAAGGGTCAGGTGACAATCTTGTTAAGACAACCTATTGTGCAAGAGCACACCACTGGCTTGTATTTAGCTTTTATTCACTATGACCCCCTAAATCAGCGGTAGCCAAACCATGGCTTGCAAGCTGCATGTAGCTTGCTGGCACAGTACTTGTGGCTCTTGCCCTGCTTCTTGAAGCCCCGCCCACTGCTTCCAGGACTGCCAGCTCAGGCACCAGGCTGCCAGAGCAGGGGCTGCAGCCTCACCACTTATTCCAGGGCTTGGCTCCGGGTCGCTCAGCAACCCCCCTCCACATCACTAAGCGCACCCCCCCCACCCACCCACCCCCCACTGTTCTGCGGCTCTTGAACTTCAGTGGAAGATCGGATGTGGCCCCCAGGGTGAGTAACTCTGGCCACCCCTGCCCTAAATCCTCTTCTGCAGTACTGTAGTGTAGCCAATCATTTTACACTCTGTATTTTTGCAGGCCATTCTTCAGTCTTGGATACAGGACTTAGACCTTGTTTGTTATTGAATTTCATTTGATTAATTTCAGACCGTTTTTCCAGTTTATCAAAGTAATTCTGAGTCCTAATTCTGTCCTTCATATTTTCTAACAGTGGACTCATTCACAAAATCATTATTAAAGATATTAAACGATTCCAGACCCAGGATTGAAGCCTCACTCAATACCTCCTTTCAAATAAACATTGAACCATTGATTTCTGCACTTTTGATCATGATGATCCAACCAGTTATATATTCACTTTACAATACTTCCATCTAGACTGTATTTCCGTAGCTTACTTACAGAATGTCATGAGAAGCAGTGCCAAAAGCCTTGCTAAAGTCCAGGTGCATCGTATCCACTGCTCTCCTCCTACCTTCGCCCCCCCATCCTAAGAGCCAGTCACTTTGTCATAGAAGAAAATCAAACATGATTTGCTCTTAATGAATTCATGTTGACTGTTCCTGATTAGCTTGTTATCCTCTAGGTCAGGGGTGTCCAACCAAAATGAAGTGGTAGGCCATAAGTGGTTAAATCATAGTGATGGTGTAAACTTGAGAGTAGGCAAAATATGGCCTGCGGACCGGATCCAGCCCACAAAGTGACTTGTCCTGCCCACAGCAGGTCCTTTGTGACCCAAGCACCATCTGGCCCATGGTGCATCCCACCACTCCTGGGCACACAGCAGGGCTCGGGCAACTGCACTCCAGTTCTCAGCAACCCAGGTGGTGGTAGCGGTGGCTCCATGCTGTTGTCATCGCTGGTCCCAGCCCCATGGAGACTGGCGGGGATCTGTACACTCAGCCCTAGCCATCCCTGGCCTACGCTGCTCACACTCTGGACTTACCCCAGCCAGAATGAACCAGCCAGGACCCGCGCACACAGTCCTCACCTCAGTCTACCCTGCTCCTGCTTCGGACCTGCAGCAGCACTGGTGGCCAGACAGAAATTGCTGGGTGCAGAGCAAAATGCCTGCCTCCTCTTCATCATTGCTGGGCCCTTCTTGTTGCGGCTGTCTGGAGCCCATGCCTGGGCTACTCTGCAGCTCTTTATCATCACCACTACTGGTGCCCCCTCCAGGGCGCCCAGCAGTGGTAGTGGAGAGGAGCTGCAGGGCAGCCCAGGAATGGGCTCTGGGCTACTGCAGCAACAAGTGCCTGGCAATGCTAAGGAAGAAGGTAGCTGCTTTTCCCCCATGCCCAGCAGTAGCTTCTGCCTGGCAGCTGCTGCTCATCATGGGTGTGTGGGTCCAGAGCGGGTGTGGGGTTGGGGCTGTGTGTGCAGGTCCTGGCTGGTCTGGAGCTGGTCCATGGTGGGCTGGGGCTGTGCATTCAGCTGCTGCTGAGTGCTGATGACAATGGCAGAGAGGAGCCCCAGGGCACGTGGGCTGTTGAGTGGGGGGTGCTCACCAGCCTGCAGCAGCTCCGAAGAACCTACTATGTGGCCTGTGGGCCCAAATAATTGCCCACCCCAGTGTTAACTCCTTTTTTGGCAGCACTGATGCAGCAGTTTAAGTAGCAGTGGTGAGAAGGTGGTGTTGAAGGTGTTAATACTGCCACCATCATGATTTAAACACTCTTGGACTACATTATGGCCCACAGACTGCCAGTTGGATAATTATGCTCTAGGCAATTAGGATCCCTTGTTGACATGTTCCATAATCTTTCCAGGTATTGAGGTCAGACTGACCTGGATCCTTCCACCTTTCCTTTTTTTTTTTCTTTAAGGTATGCACTGCATTTGCCTTCTTTTTAACCATCGAGGACATCGCCCAACCTCCATGAGTTCTCAAAGAGAATAGACTGTGTCTCTGGACAGTTACCTCTGTTGCATTCCATTCAGCCTTGCTGACTTGAAAACATCCAGCTCCTTTAAGTAATCTCTAACGTGTTTTCTGTAGTACAGGCTGATTTTTATCTTTCCCATTCTTGCTGCATGCTGTGCTTGTCATCTGATAGCTGACCTTATTCCTGAAGACTGAAGTAAAAAAAGGCATTGAGTATATCATGTTTCTTTACATCATCCATTATGAGACTACTGTCTTCAGTCAGTTAAGGATCTACAGTTCCTTTGGTCTTTTTCCTTAATTTTAGCATATTTGTAGTTTTGTTTTGTTTTTTGCGCCTTGGCTTTCCTGATTCTCTCTGCATGCCTGTGTGATATGTCTTATGCTCATTCTTAGTAACATAGCCAAGCTTCCACTTTTTGTAAGATTCCTTTTTGCGTTTCAACTCATTGAAATTCACACTTAAGCCTGGCTGGTTTGTACTTCTTTGTCTTTCTTTGCATCAGGATAGGCTAGTTTTGGACGCTCAGTATAGCCTCCTTAAGGTACAGCCAGCTGTCTTGAACTTTTTACCTTTAGACTTGCTTCCCATAGGATCATGTCCACTGGTTCCTCAAATTTAAGTCTGCTTTTCTGAATTGCAGTGTCTGTTTACTTCCTTACCTCAGGATCTTGAACTCTGTCCTTTTTGGTCCCTGTCATCCAAGTTGCTTTCTAACCCCAACATTATCAACCAGTTACCCCGTTTGTGAGCAGCATTTGACGAGCTTCTCCCTCAAGTTGATTTCTCCATCATCTGTATCAAAAAGTTACGTCCAACACATTCCAAAGACTTCCTCGGCTGCCTGGGCACTGCTGTTACCCTCCCAAAAGCTGTCGTGGTAATTAAAGTCCTCCATTAGCACCAGGTTCTGCAGTTTTGACACTTTCATTAGCTGTTTGAAAACTGCCTTGTCTTCCTCTTGGGGTGGTGGTCTACAGCAGATCCCCACCATAAGATCACCCTTATTCTTATCCACTTTTACTTTGGCCAAGAGACCTTCAACGTGCTTACCTCCCTCTTTGTACCACGCCTCAGAACAAGTATATGCGAAAGACATACGGAAAGAGCAACACCACCTCCTTTTTCACCCTGCTTGTCTTTCCTGACAGTAGTATAATTATACAAACTATTTACTGAGTTTGGCTATCCCAATTACATTACGTGTATGCAGTTATACTAGGACTTCCAATTCTTCCTACTTATTCCCCATACTTCTTGTGTTAGTACAAGGCTGTTCAACTGGCAGCTTGTGGGCCACAGGCAGCCCATGAGGATTTAGTTTGCAGCTCCCAGGCTCCCAGCCAGCTGTCCTTCCCACCTCTATTTCTCTAATTGCAGCAGTAGCTAGGATCTCTGGCCTCCCCCTTTTTCCAGCTCTGCTGCTTGTCCCTGACCCAGGAGTGGGGCAGTGTAGCATGGCACAGCCTATGGTACTGGGGAGATCCAGTAGGGGTGAGTGGGCTCATGCAGCATGTGCCCTGGGCGGGGAGGGGGGCTCACACTGGTATGGCCTGTGTGGTGTGCAACCCCTGGCTGCTTAAAAGTTGGCCATCCCTGCTTTTGTATATAATGAACAGTATAAGACACAGCAGTATAATCTGTATAGACTTTATAGTGGGGTGGGCAAAATGCGGCCCACCAAACCATTCTCCCCGGCCTGGCCGCTCCCCCCCCCGCCCCCCCCAATTAAGGAAATGAATATTTATCTGCCCATGGCTGCCTGTCATGCAGCCCTCAATGGCTTGCCAAAACTCAGTAAGCGGCCCTTCGCCCGAAATAATTGCCTGCCCCTGCTTTATAGCATATACATGTGCAATCATGATCCATTTATCCATCATGAAGTCCCCCATAGACTTTACTTATTCCTAGCAGGCTGTGGAAGAGGTTTGGGTGCTGAGGTGTTGACTGTATAAAATTCTGAAACATTAATTTAGGGATCCTCCTGTCATGGAATTTCTTACACCAATATATGATTATCTTGCAACAAATGGTAACGAGCCAAATGGTAAAAGAATTCGTCCCTAGGTAAAAATGGCAAACCTGCCTCAAAAATCAGATCCATGACAAAGTGCTGTTTAAACATGTCCTGCTATTTAAAGAGCAACTTACCTGTCATGCTGGGATGAATTTTAACATATGACCAGTAAAGGGGAGTATAGGGAGGGGCGGCGAGTCCACAAGAGGCTTCAAAGGGGAGAGAGGAGGATAACAGCTACCTCCCCGACAGCCTGCCCAGGAGTGAGCTGTCAGGACTGCCAGACCAGTGATCTGGCTCACTTGCGACAGGTGCAGCTAGCTAGGATTCCCAAGCTGCTAGGACCTGACTGGGGAGTGATGCAGGATCCTGAGCTTACAAGCACACATGGTCCTTTAAAAGCTGAGAGCGCTCCTTATGAGGCTGCTGGTGTGTTTCTACCCCATCCAATCCTGCTGCTTCTTCTTACAAAACCCCCTTACTGGTGTCTTCGTGTAGGTGGTGGAGGCAGGGGCTGCTGAAGGTGGAGCCCCAGATCCTGATTTGCCTCTGCTGCCACTGGAGGCTTACAGGGAGCCCTGTCAACCCTGTTACCTGGCAGTAAGTGTGAGGGGGCTGCTTACAGCCTGTTAAAGCACTGGGACCTTTAAAGGACTCTTGGGGAGCCTGAAACCCTGGGAGCTAGGCTTGCAAGCTGGTCAGTGAGCCTGTCCAGCTCAGTGATAGGCTCCACTAGGGGTGGCAGCAACTATGGAGCAGCTTCCTATTGCCCCCTGGTTGGAGAGCACGACTTTGAGTTCACCAGGGGGTTCTGTCCATAGTGCCTTTTATTTATTTAGTGCCACAAAGTTTGGACCACTGGAGAAATAATGTTTGGAGGCAGCCTTAATTTGTCATCCAGGAGATCTCCCAGACCCACTATGCTAAGAATATTTCCTATGGCAAAACTTATAGGATAGATGGAGTTGGTCTGTTGAGGGCAAAACGTTCTTTATTTCATTGCCTGTAGTATAAAATGATACTTAAACCTGCTTTGTTGAACTATAGCAATATAAAAAAAATATACAGACTTATTGTCTACAGGTCTGATCCAGCACATATGGAAGTTAGTGGGAAGATTTCCTCTCACTTCAGCATGTTTTGTGTTAATTTGACATCAAAATAATTACATTTTATTGGGATGCTAGCTGAAGGAGGTACAATCATTTGAAGTTTGAGAGATCTGAAATGAAAGTAGTCAAATACAATTTAAGATTAATCAAAGTGCACCTGTTACCCTTGGTTACCAGGAGCATTCAGCACATTAGTTTTGGGACAAAAACATTTTTGGGACAGAAATTCTGAAAGAAAATGTGGGCTTGGAAAATTACGTGGCTAATAACTATAAGAAATCTTAGAGGACATAGCTTTCTGATTGGCAGCTTAGAAATCTTTAAGTACTCTAGCTGCTGCTTTTGAGTATGTTGCAGAAAGTGAAATACTAAACCTTTTTCCTAGAACTTGATTTAAAATTGCAAGCTTCAGATTTCCAGTCTGTAGGGGGGGGACTTTGTTTTTCTGTTATAATTCTTAAATATCAATTACTCTGTCTTTCTAAAATTGAAAACTACCTTTTTTTATGTTGAAGTTTCAGATTGAGGAAACAGCCATCTGTTCTTGTACAGTTATGTCTTAAACAATATTCATTACAAGTACCTGTCAAAAGATTTGCTATTATAGTTGCTGCTTTTACAAAACTATAATTAAGAAAGTGTCAGTGCCTTTAAATTCCTATTTTTCAAGATTTAAATTGACTGATCAGCTTGTTTTGCTACAATTTGCTATACATGTTTTCAATCCTAGAGGCATTTCCTTTTATGGTGTGTTAATACTCGGCCTACCATGCAAACAAAAAGGAATGTTGCTAGTTTCCCCTCTCTGTCCTAGCAAAGCATGGAGAAATACATGTGTATGCAGCACATATTCAGATAGGACTCTGTCTGACAGAAAATACTTATTGCATTGATGTTAAGGGTATTTGTATGTGCATTTTTTTCACCAATAGATAATTCGAAAAGTGGATAAACAGACAGCGTTATTGGATGCAGATGATCCAGTATCACAGCTCCATAAATGTGCGTTCTACCTTAAAGATACTGAGAGAATGTACTTGTGCCTTTCCCAGGAGAGAATAATCCAGTTTCAAGTGAGTTTGTTTAAACATACTGTACTAAAAAATAAACATAATCAAGTCAACATTTCCAAAATATTTGGAGACCACAGCACTGGATTCTCTTTGGTATTTTTGCTTTTAAAGGCTAAGTATTAAGCTTCGATCTTCCTAGCCCAAATTGATTATATGTTTTCTCTTCTCTCACCTGTCTTCTATATCAGCATATATTAGGGGTTGGCAAGCTACAGCATGTGGGCCAGATGCAGCCCAAGGAGCCTCTGGATCCATCCCTTGGAGCAGGGGCGTTGCCCACATTACACCATGGCCAGGCATTTGGCCCAAGTTGCTCTGCAGCTGGACTGCAGGGAACAGTGGCAGGAGTGGCTGGGCCCTAATGCTGGCCCACCTTTGACTTGAGCTGGGTCATTGTGGCCCAGTACTAGAAAACATTGCCACCCCCTGTTGTATACATTTAAGTTATAGTTCCTTCAAACCTGCAAATGGAGAGACCATGCTGACATTTGAGATGCCAGACTTTCTCATATAAAGGGTATAGCCATCTCATAGTCTTCAGTTATACTTCTCTCCAGCAGATGAAAAGTATAATTCTTAGCAGGCTGTTGCAACAGGAGCTAAGAAAAGCAGGCACTGGAGGTCTAAGGGAGCCTCCACAATTTGTGCACTGTGGGCCCCCTTCATACGTTAATTTAGTTGTGAGATGGGACCTGAAGAATTCTATCCCAGATCCCATCGCATATCTGCCAGTCCACAGGGAGCCTGGGATTGGGAACGTGTTCTCTGATCCTGCACTCCGGGATGTTTAAAGGGCACTTGTACAACATGGCATTAGTGAGCTGGTCCCTGATGATAGATGGCCCACATGCCTTTTAAACTTGCTAGAACCCAGTGACTCCCAATTCTGAGACCTGGCTTCCTGTTGCCAAGCTGCCTAGGCACTAGGAAATATAAAGGGGAGCTTGTGTGCAGCCTGACACCAACGAACCGGTTTCTGCTGTGGAGCTTCCCACCTGGGGGCAACCAAGCACCATGGAGCAGCTCCCAAGCTCATACTCTTTGTGCATCCTTTAAACTAGCTTATTCAAATTAAAGGCGTGATACAAATCGGCCACAAAGATGTTTCACATTAAATTAATAATATCATTGGTTAGTTAGCCATTTTTATCAAATTGCTTGAACATGTAGTGTATTACAATTTTTGCATGACTAACACGTTAATTACATGATGAATGTAACATCGGGGGGGCGTTGTATGTGGCTGCTCTGACAGCAGATGGAAAACTGACAAACGGGGTGCATCTACATGTTCATTAATGCACCTTTGCTACTGCACATTAAGTTTAGTACCTCTAATATGAGGCACTACATAAAGGTGCATTAGCCCGCCCTAAAGCACAATAGCAAAGGCAGACAGTATTACTGCTTAATCTGCAGTAGACTAATTATGCGTGCATTAGCACAGTTTTTGCTGTGACATGCTAATGTGCAGTACAATAGGCTACTGTGCATTATAGCGTCTTGTGTAGACTTCATAGATTGTAGAGTTGGAAGGGACCACAGTGGATCATCATGTCCGACCCCCTGCCCCTGGCAGGAAAGAGGACCAAGGTCAGATGACCCCAGCCAGGTGACTATCTAGCCTCCTCTTGAAGACCTCCAAGCTAGGTGATAGCACCACCTCGCTTGGAAGCCCATTCCAGATCCTGGCCACCCTTACTGTGAAAAATTTCTTCCTAATATCTAACCTAAATCCACTCTCAACTAGTTTACACCTGTTTTTCCTAGTCACTCCCTGGGGTGCCTTAGTAAACATCGCTTCCCCTATTCCCCGTTGACCTCCCCTAATAACTTTATAGGTAGCCACAAGATCTCCCCTCAGCCATCTCTTGTGAAAGCTGAATAGATTCAGCTCTCTCAACCTCCCCCCCTGTAGGGTCTACCACGAAGGCCCTCTATCATGTGAGTGGCCCTCCTCTGGACCCTCTCCAGATTCCCCGCATCCCTCCTGAAGTGTGGTGCCCAAAACTGGACACAGTACTCCAATTGTGGCCTGACCAGTGCCGCATAGAGGGGGAGCATCACCTCCTTTGTTCTATTAGTCATGCACCTGTTAATGCATGACAAGGTGCAACTGGCCTTGTTGATGGCCTCGTTACACTGCTGGCTCATGTTCTTCTTGGAGTCAATTATGACTCCAAGATCCCTCTGCCTCTGAGCTGCTGATCAGAACACTCCCTAACCTATAGGTGTGCTGGGGGTTCCTCCTTCTCAGGTGGAGTACCTTACACTTACCTTTATTAAATTGCATCCTATTTTTCTCTGCCCTTTGATCCAACCTGTCCAGGTCAGCCTGAATCTGCTGCCTGCCCTCTGCTGTACTAACTTTGTCCCATAACTTGGTATCATCAGCGAACTTGGAGAGGGTGCTCTCCACACCCTCATCCAAATCGCTAAAGAAGATATTGAATAATGTCTCTAGTGGGTTATGGAATAGAGAAAATCCCACACAATTTACTGATTCGTTTTGATGCACTGGCTGGGGGAGTAGTTAGCTGATTGCACGATTTCACAACGATTACACACTTAATTTATACAACACAATTTTATTTTAAAACTCTTTGCTACGTATATAACACTGCTTAGCTTTAAGAAACACCACAAACATTAAAAACACAATAATTACATATATCAGAAACAATGCTCCAAATGCACTTCCTTCCCAAACAATGCTATAAGAATTAGTGTTACAAAAACAACTACAATTACAACTAAAAGTTAAATTTGAATCAATACTGTTATTTTTCATAATATACTTACAATCCTAGAATTCCGAGAAGCCAAATACCAAAATATGGTTTCATTCCTCAGTAGTACGATTTAATGGGTTGGCCTCAGTAGTACGGTTCAATAAGCTGGCCTCAGCAATACGATTCAATGAGCTGGGCTCACCAGTGATAGGACTACGTCCCCTTCCTTCAGTCCCTTTCGGGCGCTCCACAGCTTCAGCGTGAACTAAGAGATTCAATATGGTTTCATTCCTCAGTAGTACGATTTAATGGGTTGGCCTCAGTAGTACGGTTCAATAGGCTGGCCTCAGCAATGCGATTCAATGAGCTGGGCTCACCAGTGATAGGACTACGTCCCCTTCCTTCAGTCCCTTTCGGGCGCTCCGCGGCTTCAGCGTGAACTAAGAGATTCGTGTTCACGGAGAGGCTTGATTAGGTGATCAATCTAATCCGACCTTACACTTGTGATTCTTCCTTCGTTGTTCTGCAAGTGAAGTCACCTCCAAATTGGGACAGTAAGTTACAGGTTTTTATTGAGTGAGCTGCCGTCATTGGGCTCCTCCTACTCAATTTATCATACCTCCCAAATTTGGGCTCGGATCTTACTCAACAGAAATTACCTTTGTTGAGCATTTTAAATTATTCTTGGGGAGACTTCCATATCACTGTAAATACTCTTTTCTTAGCAATTTGGTTAAAAGGCCTTAGGCTTTGATGTCTCGGAATTTAGGACATTTGCTTTCTTTGTAAAAAACTTCTAAAGATACAATTTAAATTAAGACTTTAAGTGAAGTCAGGACATTTCGCACGTAGCTCCGAAACAATGAGCTAGATAAGGAGATAAATCCTATCTTCTTCCTGAAACTGGCTAATGGGCAATCTTTACAAACATTCAAACTATTTCATTCAATATGACAAATAATATCGGTCCAAGGACTGAAACTTGTGGGACCCCACTACCCACCTTCCTCCAGGCCGAGAAGGAACCATCCAACACTACTCTCTGGGTGCGGTCCCTAAGCCAATTGTCCACCCACCTGACCGTGTAGGCATCCACTCCTCAGTCTGCTAGCTTCCCAATGAGGATAGGGTGCGAAACTGTCAAAGGCCTTCCTAAAGTCCAGGAAGATGACATCAGCTTTGGCTCCCACATCCAGGCAGTGTGTGACCTGGTCATAGAAGGCTACAAGGTTTGTCAGGCAGGATCTACCTGTGACAGATCTATTCTGGTTTCCCCTCAGCATTGTTTCCCTTGCTGGGCGTGCACAAATGTGTTCTTTGATTATTTTCTCTAGCATTTTCCCAGGAATAGAGGTAAGGCTGACTGGTCTAAAGTTACCCGGCTCATCCCTTCTCCCTTTCTTGAAAATGGGCACCACATTGGCCCTTCTCCAGTCCTCAGGGACCTGGCCGGAGCACCGCGCATGCTCGAACAGCTCTGCCAGCGGCTCAGCTATGATACTGGCCAATTCTTTCAGCAGGCTTGCCCAGTTTGATCCTTCGCTAGGGACCAGAAAGCAATAAAACAGTTTTCTAGGGCAGCAGCACCTTGATAATTCCTTTTGCAGAGCGGTGGGGGGGGGGAGTGTTTTGCGTGCAGTACATCAGCCCTCCAGAAAATGCTTCTTGGAACTTCTCGAGCTTTTTCTGCAATAATCAGTAAGCCCAGTGAAATCAAAGCCCTTAGTTTTTCTCAGGGAGAAGAGTAAGGCTCTCAGCTGCATTTCCTACCCTGCTGTGATGAAACTCAGCTCAGTGTTTGTATATATGGGCCCATTCTCGCTCTTGCTTCACAGGTGACAAGAAGTCACTGCAGCTATCACAAGAAATCGGGCTTCGCTTTCATCCATTCCTTCTTACACTTTCAGGTTGGACCCTATGCTGCTTAGTTGAGAAACCGTAGCCCACATTTTTTAGCCTCTAGAGTCTAGAGCAGTGGTAGGTAATGTTTTTGACCAGAGCGCTGAAAAAACTGCTATGTCTACGTTGTAAGGTGCTGGAGTGCCAGCACACCAGAAAAACAAAACCAGGGCTGGGAGTACATGGCAGGCTACACTGCAAATTAATATAGTTAATAATCATAAACATTGCTTTTTCTTACAGTAAATACCAGGTTTTCTAAAAATTCTAAACCTGGTGACAATGAATAAAAATTCATACACTACCTTTGTTGTTATGTATTCTTTTTTTGTTAAGCATGTTTTAATGACAGAGAGAGGGGAAAAAAGGAAGAGAAAGAAAGGAGAGAGAAAGAGGAGAGAATAGAAACAAGAGGAGAAAGAGAGGAAGGAAGAGAAAAAAGACGAAAAGATGAGAAAATGAGAAGAGAGAAAAGAGAAGGAAAAAAGAGAAGAAAGAAGAGAGAGAAAAATATAGGAACTTACCAAATTCACAGCAGAAGTGGGCTGTGAGGCAGCATCTTTAAATTGGCAGGTTCCCCCGCACGCTTCCTGCCACTGATTGGTGGAGGTGCTGTGCTTGCGGCTTGTTCCCGATTAGCAGGCAGGCAAAAATTGCAGTTTTAGACTTGGCACCATTTTTGTCTCCCCATTGCTGATTGGCTGAAGGGTCTCGGCAGCCCCTCTGCTTGCTGCTGACCAGCAGAGAGGCAAAAATGGCGTCATGCTTAAAACCACGGTTTTCACTTCCCTGATGATGATGATTCATCAGTGAACCACCTGCAGTTGCTAGGGGGTGGGAGAGGGTTATTACATGATTTTATCCTAGTTTGGCAAGCAGCCCCAGGGTAGCAGTGCAGAGGCAGGGGAAGCCGTGGGCCTGGGCTCTGTGGTGCACAGTGCAAGTCAGAGGGTGGAAGGGGCTGGGAGAGCAGGAGCTGGCATGCACATAGTTCTGCCTGCCTCATTGCTTCTGGAGTGCCTGAGCTGCAATGCTGCACCCCCCCAGCAGGCAGGCTGTCAGCCACCCCAGCACTTCTGGCATGGAAATCTAGCAGAGTTAATGCCAGGGGGGAGGGATTGCTAGTGTGGCCAAGGGACTCCAGAAAGGAAGGCAATCCCCTATTCCTCCTCTCCCTCTCTCCCCCACTGCCCTGCAACTCCCAGGGAGCACAACCTGCCCATGAAGTGCAGGCTCCCACCCTCAGAAGGCTCCAGGTCTCCCCTGCCTGCCCACACACAGGCTCCCCCACTCCTCCCAGTCCCCCTAGCCCAGTGCCTGGGTTCCCCCCTCTTTGGGGCCAGCCCACCCTGCCTACAGTCCACAGGATCTGTATCTTGTCCTCAATTTATCAGGGAAGCGAAAACCTCAGTTTTAAACATGGCACTGTTTTTGCCTCTCTGGTCAGCAGCAGGCCTCAGCCCGTCAGCAGCAGGGAGACGGAAAAGGTGCCAAGTTTAAAACTGCACTTTTCTCCTCCCTGCCAATCGGGAGCAAGCTTGAAGTGCAGCCCTTCCACCAATCGGCAGGGGGGTGGCGCAAGGGAACCTACAAGATTAAAGGTCCTCCTGCGCAGCCCACTTCTGCTGTGAATTTGGTAGGTCCCTAGAGAAAGTAAAAGAGGGGGAAAGGGAAAAAGGAGGAAGATGAGGGCAGGCTGCCAGAGTGTGGCTGATCTCCCCACCCAGCAATGCAGGCACGTGGGCAAGCAGTACGGGCATCGGGTGCTGCTGCTGGTTTCCCTTCCTTGCCCCCCCTGCTTGTATCCCCCAGCCAGTGCCATGGCAGGCACCAGCGGTAGGATGAAGAATACACGGGCAGGGATGCAGGCAGGATGCAGTTCTCTGTTCTCCTGACCCTGCTCCAATGTCTGTGGCGATGTTGAGTGCTTCACAAACTTAGCCATGGACACGGGGCCAGGGTCAGCAGAATGCAGTCCGTGTCCCTGCCTGTGATCTCTTCACACTGTGGCTGAAACCCGTGGCTGCTCCGGAGAGCCCAGAGCAGCAACTTAAATGTTTAATTTTTAATTTTTATTTTTATCCTCAGCACGCTTCATGGCATACCAGGGGAAATGTCTCTGTGTGCCAGGGGTTGCATATCCCTGGTCTAGAGTTTAAGATCAAGGAGTAGGCTACTCCTTCCACCTTCTTATCACAGAGCTGGAATTGTTGATCACCTGCCACTGAATTTTATCAGGACGACATCAGTGCAGCTAAGACCAGTATATCACCGATCAGCATACAGGACCACACCTGAGAAGAATGACAGTGGGAAATTTAAGATAGCTAGAGCAGCAGGAACGGAAAACCAGCAGCTTTCAAGGATCCTCATGATAAAAAAAAAAAAAAAAAGACAGTCTCCAAAAATATTTGATCTCTGGCCTGTCATTATTTGCTCCAGTTTTTTAAATGAACAGCTCCCAGACCTTGACAAGAGGGATGCAAAAGGGTAGTAGGAATACAAAAGGAAAAGGTGAGAAATCTGAATGATCATTCGCCTATTTCTGGGCTTCCTATTCATTTGTGAATCCAGGTATGGCATAAACTGTTCAACCAGTAAAACAGATTGTTGGCAGACAAGGATAGCAGATTCTTCCTTTAAAGTTAAGGCCAGCTGCTCAGTCCCTCAAAGTCAGGTTTCTTTTCAAGAAGATGTTGGAGACTATCAGTCAGTAGTTGCTTCACAGTAGTGAGATGCACCAAGAGAATCCCAGATGGGCTCCAGGATTTCAGTCTAACAGAAGTAAATCCAGCATAACAGAGCTTTCACCCAGATAAAAGGAGTCTCACCCACTACAAAAAGAAAACTGGTTTCAACCAGATTATCTCCTTTTGCTCAAGGAAGTGTTTTAATACATTAAACAGACAGACAGTTCAAGGATTGGGCACAAAATCCCAGTGCCTGGGGAAAATTAAGGACCACTCTGGGACCAATGTTTTTTTATTCCTGGAGGCAGCAGATAAACTACAAATTATAGTAAGTCTCCTGGATCTTGACTGACTTGACCCAGGTGCTCTCATATTATCTAATTTTTATGGTCTTGAGAAATACTTTGTCTTCTAGTTTCAAATTCTGTTTCTAATAAAAGTGGTTCTATAGTGCTGCAGACAATGGGGGCCTCATTTTTTGAATAATAAGGCAAAAGTAGAGTTTCAGGAAGTTTCATGCCTTCCTAGCAAGCAGCTATGTATGATTTTTCACTTGGCTAATGTCATGCTGAGGAGTTTGACTGACTTCAGGTTGAAGACCTCAACTGTTTTCTCATCTGACTTAGTAAATCAACTCTTTATTAATGCATTTCGTCCAAAAATCTTTCAGAGAGGGGGATGCTGTATTTTCTGGCTATTGGTAGGGCGCTGTAACCTAGGTTAGTGCAATAGAATTCAAGCAGATTTTCATTCTGCACCAAGGTTTTAAAGGTTACATGCATCCAAATCCTCACTGATGTGATAGAGAATAGAAAAAAGAAGGAAGCATCAGAATATTTTTAAAGCTCTGGGCTGCCCACACTCACACACCACAGAGCAAATAAATGTCTGCCACTAAATAGCAGCACAAATTCTTACCACCTTTGTTACAACTACAGATTTTAGGCAATTTGTGGTACAAGGTATGCATGGGCACCTGTTTGCTTGGCCTTTGTGCTGCTGTAACTTTTTTTTTTATGGTAGCACAAAGGCAACAAAGGGCAATGTCTATTTTTACTATAAGATTGGTATTCTTAATTTACTAAAACCATTTGTAACGTATTGAATAGTGTCAGTTTAATTTTTTGTTTAGTACTGCTAAACCAAGTATTCAGTAGAATACTGAGAGAGTTAGACTTTTTATAGGTGAAAACATGACACAGTGTCTTAGTTTTCTATCCCCATCTGCTGGTTGAGAAGAAATATAAGCCAGGCATTTTACTGGAATTGGAGAGGTCAGGAAAAGTAAAATAACCGGTAAGTAGTTTCTTCCTTTTTGTCGCACATTTTGATGTCTGACAGTTAAACTGTGCAGTATAATGCAGGCCTCTGTTTCCCATTAAGTTAACAAAATATTAATACAGAGCTACTTTGGTATGTGGACAGAACTTTTTCTAGCACTATTTCAAGTACTATTTCTGATGCAGTAATTCCCCCCCCCCCCCCCCCCCCCCCCCCCGGCCGCATTTACGTATCATGACCATATCACAATAGAAATGTTCAGTATTTTCCCCACACCTCCCTTTCCCACTCCTGTTTACTCCTTTAAAAAAAGGGTTGGGTGGTTGGAACACTCTTAGATCTTTTTATATTTATCTGGGTTTGAGCTCATATTCTGGTTATGATCATTTCTCTTGCTTCCTATTTTATTTATTTTGCACATTGTTGGGCTCCTTATGGCTGTTTTAGCACAAGGGAATGTATTGCAATCCATTCCACGTCGTATAAGGGTTTTCATTACCTTCTATTATGGGGAGACCATGATATCATTTTTAAATGAAAGCCACTGGCTGTGGAGAAATATTACATCTGTGCTACTGTAATTAGCATTACCCCAGTGTTGAAAAAGAAAGTAAAAGACAGGTGACACAGATATTTATACCAGATTAATTTCCCTCCCGGTTTGGTAGAATATTATCGCTGAAAGAATCAGGGGTAAAACTGGCAGAATTAACAATATTGGCTTATGCTCATGTACTTTTACCCCAAGGAGCTGCTTTCTTAAAGCCACCTGGCTATACCTACTTCCTGCCACCTAGTGATGAAGTACTGTAGTAGCACCTATTATCTTGGAACAGCTACATAACTATCAGTTCATAATATCTGAATATGAATACACACACATTTGGGGCCATTTCAAACGGGAAGCAGCCGTTATGTTCCAGTTGTGTGGACAAGTAGGAAACAATGCAAATGTTGCAAAACTGTTCTAAGTAGCCCTGGATACATCTGTGTTCAAGTTAGGGTGATTTCACTACATTTGTAGCCTTTCCTACATGTCTACTCATAAGAATTGGAATGTAACAGCTGCTACCCTTTTGAAACCTTCCCTATTGGAAATGGCTTTTAGTGTATATGTGTTCTTACCCTCAGCATAATTTACATTTAAATTACAGTGAAGCATGTGACCATCTGTGCATGGCCATTGTCAACTGTCTATACCAATACAAATGACTATACTAGCTTATACCAATACAAATGACTGTTTTATAACATTGACTTGAATGCTGAACCAGTTATACAGACCAAACTTCTCTTTCTTACTAAGGCCACTCCATGCCCAAAGGAACCAAATAAAGAGATGATTAATGATGGAGCTTCTTGGACAATCATTAGTACAGATAAAGCAGAATATACATTTTATGAGGGGATGGGACCGGTACATGCTCCAGTAACACCTGTGCCTGTTGTAGAAAGTCTTCAAGTAAGTCAAATATGTATTTTTTTTTGTTTTGTTTTCTTTTTAATAAACATTGTACCTCTTTATAGTACTTCTCATCTGGGAATGTTTGAAAACTTCAACTATTACTTAAACTTAACAGGACTTTTACGAGTTATTGTAGGTAAGTTTTATAGATAGGAGAATTGAGGCAAAGAGAAGCAAATTTAAATCAAGATAAAACTTGAGTCTGAAGTAAAAGCAAAGAGCTCTGACTCTCAGTGGGCACATCTACACATGCATATTAATGTGTATGAATAAACTCCAGAGCTTATTCCTTCCAGGCACATGTCTTTTACGTGTGCCCGGGACTGCAGAACGTTGAGCTGAGTCGGAGCAACCCCGGCTGACATGGGACCCAGGGGGTCAGCCTGCCAGCCCAGGCCTGCTGCTCCGAGCTCAAATTGCTACAGAGGGGCTGGCTGGGGCATGAGGGTGCTTCAGTGCAAGGCTAGCCAGCAGGCAGCCCTGTATTGAAGCACCCTTGTGGCCAGCCAGCCAGGGCAGTGTGTGTACGTGTGCTGCTGCAGAGTAAATTTAGTTTACTCCAACCTAATAGGGGCACATGTGTAGATGCATGATGCTTACCGTGCAGCTGATTAGTCAACTGCACAGTAAACATCTTGTTGATGTGCCCAGTGACTTTTTCTCTACTCAGTGGACAAAGATCTTTCATCTAAGGCTCTTTCAACCTCTTAGGCAGAACTAGTCCTACACCAAAAAGAATCTGCATCCACAAGAAACTATTCCCCAAATAAAGCAAATGATCCCAACAATAGAGGCTTCTGTCATGCTACACATGCATGGCAGGAGGTGTGATTGGGGAATTAGGGATCAGGTCTCAGTTGTGACAGTGATCATGATCCCAGGCTTCCCCTGCACCAATAGTTAGCAAGCTAGTCAGCTGATCTGCGCTCTCAGCCTCAAGGGCACGTTGGGCGCTCAGGCTCCAGGGCATTCTTGAGGCTGGGACCAGCAGTCAGCTGATCAGAGCTCCCAGCCTCTAGAGAGCCTTGATCAGCTGATGCTTGGCCTGGTGTTCAATTGAAGGCACAATGGGAACCAGCCACAAAGTTAGCACACATTTTATATAATAATTTTGTGGCCAATTCCTTGTTTTATTGCACCTTTTAATTGGATTAACATGTGGCCAGGTTACTGCTAAGATGTACTTAATCACATCTTAAGTGGAATGTCTGCCAGGAGCCCAAAGTTTTTTTTTTTACTTTGTATGTTTGTTAAGGATGGTTGGGTTTCTTCAAATTATACTCTTATGATAAATCCTCCAGGACTTTTACTTTTTTTTATTATTATTATTATTATTATTATTATTATTTAGAAATGTATTTTGGCTCCCTTATCAATAACAAAAACCATTTACAAATGAACAGCATATTTCCTTATTACCCAAATCCTTCGTTCCCTGTCTGAAAGAGCACTCAGAAGACTGGCTACCCAAAAGGAGGTGAAATCCTTAGTCCTGAAGTTCTTTGGACTTCTGTTTTGAGGGATGGTCAATTGGTAAAGAGAGAACAGGGTCTTTACTTCCAGAAGCTTCGCTGCTAGCTGCTTATATTTTATAACATAATTGATCGTCCATCAAGAGTAACCAGTCACTTCAGGATATCAAGCTTTTGGGGCTGCTTTTCAAATGATTGCTTTTTAAATTAGTCATGTTTTAATGTTTTTTGTCTAATTGCTAAAAACAGCAGTGTTCATTGTACTTGTACTTATTGTAAAGGGAATTGATTTTGTTACATCTGTTTGTTTTATCTCTCCAGTTGAATGGTGGTGGGGATGTAGCAATGCTGGAACTTACAGGACAGAATTTCACTCCAAATTTACGTGTGTGGTTTGGGGATGTGGAAGCTGAAACCATGTACAGGTACAGTATTATTTTCTGTTGCCTCATGACAATGGGTGTTGAAGTTTGAAGAGTGTATATCTCTCTTTTCCTTCCTTTTTCTTTTATTTATTTATTTTTCAACTTGATTATCTCCTTATCTGCTGTATTGCGAGGATTTTTAGTAATAGATTGTTTGACATATAACTTTCTGTCCTTTCCTTTGTCAGATGTGCAGAGAGCATGCTGTGTGTCGTTCCAGATATTTCTGCATTCCGAGAGGGTTGGAGGTGGGTCCGTCAGCCAGTCCAAGTTCCAGTAACTTTAGTCCGTAATGATGGCATAATCTACTCTACCAGCCTTACCTTTACATATACACCAGAGCCAGGGCCACGACCACATTGCAGTGCTGCTGGAGCAATTCTCAGAGCCAACTCAAGCCTCATGGCTTCCAGTGAAACAAATACAAACAGCGAGGGAAGTTACACAAATGCCAGCACAAATCCAACCAACGTCACATCATCTACGGCAACAGTAGTTTCCTAACTACTGTTGTTTGTTTGGACTTTAATTGACTCTCACGTGCTACAGGCAAGAAAATGGAACAATTTTTGTGGTTTCATGGGAAAACAGCTTTCCATTCTAAGTGATATTATTTGAACTATGTTACCTGCAAGTGCTGATCTTAAAAAAATAAGAAGCCACAATAAAAAAAATACATCTGAAATGTAAGAACTTTATTGAAAATCTATTTTTCAGCTGTTTTTTTAATGGGCAAGAAATAGAAGTGTGGCTGGGGTACAAGTTAAGCTAATTAGAAAACATGAACACAACATAGTTTTTACGGACCAAGGAACTTGTATAAGCTTTAGTATAAAAGGTACATTTTCACCATACCTTTTTTGTATCACAACATATAGTACACTTTTGTTACCAAATAGTTTCTATTTTTTTTCCTCTGAGCTTTTGCTCTGAAGTATATTCAGGTTCCAAGCCTGACCATGCTTGTATAATCTAATTACCATACTCTTCCAGTTTAAAAAAAATATATATATTTTTGGTCTGTGGCTGGAACTGTTCCTTTTTTTAAACTGAAGTCTTGTGACTTTTTATGAACTGAAATTGTTTTTATTTCAGCAAGTAGAACCTTGTAAAGGCCAGCATATTTTTTTTAAGATTATATGAAGTCTGTGCAAAAGCTTTAAAAAAATGCCTCTGCCTTGCCTGCAATACATGCAATGTATGTTAACTTTAGTGCTCTGTTTTCAGTCATTGTTAATAGTTATTTCCATGTTTTCCTTTTTTAAAAATATGTATTTATAGTGATAATTCATGAGGTTCTAACATTACATGAGTTCAAAAAATGTGGCATCTCAAACGGTCATATAGATGATTGTTTGTGTCATAAGCATACATTGGTGTTTTGAAGGGTTTATTTCTGGGTTCTTCCTCCTTCCCACCTCAAAGTCAAAAAGCATCATAAGTGTTTCACTATCTGTTCAGGTTTTTTCTAATCTTGTACATAAGTTGTATTAAGTGTAAGTTAAATGTTTATTTTCTAAGTGGGATGTTCCCAGTTGCTTCATTTGGCAGCATGTCTTCTGTCTTGTTGGCATGTATCTAAATATCATGAGAAGTATTTGCTACAAATGGGATTGGTAGGTAATGCCCTTCATCCTTACACAATCAGAATTGCAAAAAAAAGCGGGGGGGTTCTTTGATACTATTCAGTGAATTAAGCCAGATATTAGTGTAATCCTTGTACTGAGAACATGCTTTCATTGTGAAGTGATCATACCATAATAGCTAGAAGTAAAATTTATTACTTAGAAAAAGGCAATTAGAAGATTAGAAAAGCACTGTAAAGATGTCAACTCCTCCCATCTGTATTTCTGTGGGGTTTTCTCTT